CCACACTGGGCCATGGCATCTCAGCCCCACCAGCCCACCCCTCTAGGCGGGGCTGGGCCCCGCGAAGCCCGAGGGAACAGGCACGCATCCGAGTCGGCCAGTGGGCCAAGGCCACGCCAGTGGGGACAGGGACCAGTCAAACGATGCCCAGCGCCCGCGCCGCCGGGAGGCAGAGCGTCCGAGCCAGACATCTGCTTCTGCTCCTCCTCCTCCCTCCTCCTCCTTCTCCTCCTTCTCCTCGCCTCCTCCTCCTCCTCCTCCTCCTCCTCCCCTTCTCCCTCCTCCTCCTCCTCCTCCTCCTCCTCTCCTCCTCCTCCTCCTCCTCCTCCTCCTCCCTCCTCCTCCTCCTCCTCCTCCTCTCCTCCTCCTTCTCCTCCTCCTCCTCCTCCTCCTCCTCCTCCTCCTCCTTGTCCTCCTTCTCCTCCTCCGCCAGAAGGCGGAGCGTCCGAGCCGGACATCTGCTTCTACTTCGCCCACTGGCTCACGGACCTGGCTGGCGCGGAGCCCTTCGGCGCACGGCCGTGGCCCGGCTCCGAGAAGTTCGCGCAGAAGTTCCCCATCAAGGTCCCGTGCGCTTTCCTGGACTTCCCAGGGCAGCCTCGCGTCGTCAAGAATCGCGACGGGAGGTGCTTTGCCTTTTTTGCTCGCTGGGGGCCCTCGCCAGGCCCGGGGGCCGTCAGACAACGACTCGGGTGGAAAATACAGTCTCGGGGAAGGGGTGGAGACCTCAGGGGATCCACGTTGTGAACAACAAATGGGGTCGGGGGTCTGGGTCCCCTCGTCCGCTTCCTCCTCCTCCTCCTTCTCCTCCTACTCCTCCCTCCCTCCCTCCCTCCCTCCTGCTCCTACTCGTCCTCCCCCTCCTCCTCCTCCTCCCCCTCCTCCTCCTCCTCCCTCCTCCTCCTCGTACTCCTCGTCCTCCTCCTCCTCCTCCTCCCCCTCCCCCCTCCAACAGAGTCGGTCCCATGCATCCCGACGAGCAGCACCACCACCACATCTGACAGCAATCCCCCTTCACCCAGTGACCTCCCCGCACACGATGCATATATATATATATATATATATATATATATATATATCTGTCTCGACGACGACGACGACGACAACAAAATAACAACACAGCAATAACTCGATAAATATTCCTGTCACTCAAATTCATAGTAATAAGATGATGCTGGAGAAAAGCCCAATCAAAGTCTATAGGGCCATAGAGCTATAGGTCTATAGGGCTATATAGGGCTATAGGACCACGGGGCTATGGGGCTGTAGGGCTATATGGCTACAGAGCTCTAGGGCGATACGGCTATAAGGCTATAAGGCCATAGTGCTATGAGTATATATGGCTATGGGGCTAGGGCTTGAGCTACAAGGCTATAAAGTTATAGGGCTATAGGGCTATTCGGCTATAGGGCTATTCGGCTATAGGGCTATTCGGTTATAGGGCGATAGGGCCGTAGGGCTTTAGAGATATAGAGCTCTAGGGCGATAGTGCGATAGTGCTTTAAGGCTATAAGGCTATAGGGGTATAGGGCTATTGGGCTATGGGGCTATAGGTAACGGAAAGCGAAGTACGAGTGATGACGTTCTGGTATGGGGCGAAGCCCTTAAGGGAGGGTCCAGGGGAGGGGCGAGGCCCAGACGCAGGGTTGGGAATGGCCGTTTTCGGGTTGTCCCTTGAGTGTTTGTATGGTTTTCGGGTTCTCCCCTCTTCCGTCCCAGAATAGCCCAAGACCGCCCAAGACAGCCCCAAGACGTCCCAAGAGGCCTCCAAGACGCCCCAAGAGGCGCCCAAAAGGCGTCCCAAGAGGGCCCCAAGAGGCCCAAGTCATTGATTTTCCATAGGAAAACGTGCATTTGTAGCATACACGGCTTTTCGATTTTCACGGCGTTGAAGACGGTCCAAGAGGCCGCATGACCGCCCCAAGGCGGCCCAAGAGGCTCCCAAGAGGCCCCCAAAACGTCCAAAGAGGGCCCCAAGACGGCCCAAGAGGCGCCCAAGACAGCCCAAGAGGGCCCCAAGAAGGCCTCAAAGGCGGGATGCCGAATCGTAGTTTTTCGCCCGAAGACGCTTCCAGGAGGCCCCAAGAGCCCCCCAAGAAGCCCCAAGAGGCCACCAGGAGGCCAAAATTATAGATTTCTTATAAGAAAGCGTACATTTTTAGCATACACGGCTTTTCGGCTTTCACGGCGTTGAAGACGGTCCAAGATGCCCCCAAGACCGCCCCAAGACGGCCCAAGAGGATCCCAAGAGGCCCCCCAAACCGCCCAAGAGGGCCCCAAGACGGCCCAAGAGGCGCCCAAGACGGCCCAAGAGTGCCCCAAGACGGCCCCAAGAGGGGGACGACGAACCGAAATGTCTAGCCTTTCGCCCCAAGAAGCTCCCAGGAGGCCCCAAGAGGAAGCCCCAAGAGGCCCCCAAGAGGTTCCCAAGAGGCCTCCAAAAGGGCCCCAATAGGACTCCCAAGAAGAGCGATCGGTAACGCAAAAAGCTTTTACACCAAGGCTCCCAAGAGCGAACGGTGACGTAAACAAGCTGATAAGACCAAGGCTCCCAGCAGAGAGCGGTGACGTAACAAGTTCCTGACACGGGCGGCAACGCAACAATCTCTGAACACCAAGGCTCCCAAGAGCGAGGGGCGACGTAACAAGCTCTCAACGCCAAGGCTCCCAGTACGAACGGTGGTGTGAGTAATTTCGGTTTCTGTTTCTGAAGCGCTCTTTCCGTTTCCGTGCCGGCCCAGGTCTATTGGGTCATGGGGCTATTGGGCTGTAAGGCTATAGGGCTATAGGGCTATAAGGCACCCAGGCGCCCGTGCACCCGGGCACTTGGGCACCCGGGCACCCAGGCACCCGGGCGGGCCGCGGAAATCGGTGGCAAACCTCACCTAACCATATGAATCTGCGAGGACCCCTCAGAGGCAAGCTCTGATTGGGGGCAGAATAACAACAACCACCGCCACCAACACCATCAACAACAACCACAGGAACAACCACGACGACGACGACGACCACATCGATCTGGATAGGGAGCCTTGGGCGGAATATATCCAGCGGGCCATCCGCCATGCGGAAGATCTTGTTCGGTGGCACGGTGCTCAATGTTGGCTAAGGACACAAAGGCAGTTCACGCGGAGGTACGCTTCTCGATGCTCATCGCGTGGCCAACCACCCCGCTGTGCGCTGGACGCGCCAGGCCCTACACTGGCACCCTGGAGCTCACGCGTGCCGGCGGTAATGCCGCAGTCATGGCGGGCAGTACAAGTGGTGTGACGACGATCTATTAGCATTCCTGCGCTCCCTCCGACCCGACGAACTCCCGCCAAAAAGTTTTGCGCTGGACGGCTCCACGGAGACGCGATCGACCTGGCCTGGACGACCTACGCCGTAGACGACCCGGAACAACCGAATTCGTCGCGGCAGGAGCTTTGCAAGTCTGGAGGGTTACGGCCCCGGGCGCCCTGCCTGCAGAGGAGCCCAGCCTTCTCCACCGCACGGCGTATCGTTCGCTCCTCCTCTCGGCGGCGAGCCAGGGGGGGAAGTGAGAAGGAGAAGGTCTTCTCAGAAGGCGCGGAAGTTCCCCGGCTTTCTGCGAAGCCGTCTGAGCCTTCCCCGAAGAAAACGGGGAGCCTCTCAGAAGGCCGGAGGGCTTCTGGGAAGCCCCGCCGCCCTCTGAGGAGGCCTCCTCCTTCTCGTTTCCCCCCCCTCTCGCTCGCCGGCGACCCTCCCTGCTCTCGCATCCCTTGCCCGATCCTGCTGCTCCACCTCTCCCCCGTCCCCCATCGAGGTCCTGCGCGCCTTCCTGGACTCCTTCAACTATGTCGGCCGGCTGAGCCGCTCCTCGGAGGCCTCGCAGATCGGAGGGTTTTTACAGACCCCCACCTTGCGAAGGCGGTTGGCGAATTCGGTTCTCGAGATGGCGTTGCGGCTGCCTTTTTTGTGGGCTTGCGCCCGCTGGGCCTGGTCCCGGGTCGTTTTCGTGAACAGGTGTTTTGCTAAGGGGGGTTCTGTCCACCCCCGAGAAGAAGAACGAACGGCATAGGCATCAATTTTCGCTGGTCCGCGCGGGCTTCGTGAGATTAGCGTTGGGCCCCCCTCCCTGGCGCGCTCCGCGCGCCAGGGGCGGCGCCAGCGGCGCCGAAGGGGGGGCCCAGCACCGATCCACGAAATCCGAGCGGGCCTCCAACAGTCTACTGCCAGGAGATTTTGCTTAGCGTGTCGCTTCCTCGCGACACGCTGACCATTTCCCCGTCCCCGGCCATCAATGTCTCGAGTTTTTTCCCAGCCTCCCGCCCCGCGGAGCGGGCCGACACGCTGTCCGCTGGCAGGGCACAGCGTGTCGCTGGGGCCGCCGCCGCGACACGCTAAGCAAACATTCCCGACCGTATCTTTATCGTTTTTTATCCTCCTAAGGTCGGCTACGCGTAAGAGTGACCTTTCGCCAGAGTGATCTCTGGTGCGGGCAATCAGGGGTCCTGTCAGCACTGCCTGGCGCGCTTGGACTGCGTAGAGTTGTTCTCTCCCGCAGCCCCCCCTAGAGCCCCCGCACCACAGGCATCACCTCCGCGACTCGTGCCTAGACCCCCCCCGGGGCCAGAAGTCTTTTCTTCTTTCCGCGGGGGGGCCCTCCTCGCGGCGACCCGTGAACCCTTGGACCATTGGCGGCGCATGGATGTATGTCTTTCTTCTGTGCGCGCCCGCAAGATCACCTCGTACTAGAGTACAACTTGCACTCGAGTGCAACTAGTACGAGGGTCAATGTATACTAGAGGACAATCGCTATGGAAGCGCAATAATTTCGGTCTGGTACATGTCGTTATACAGAAGAACAAGCTAGTATTGTGCAGCGAGTACTAGTACACTTCCAGCACAACTACTTCTGGAGGGTTGTTGCATTGCACTTACAATCTGGACTCTCGCACTTTTCCGCGGGTTGTGCCAGAAGGGGTGGAAGTCCGCGTTCGAGAACCCCCGCGGCTGAGAGTTCATTCCTCTTCTGAAATCTGAGACGCGCTTGCCCCCATGCTCGAACCCCTCGCCAGGGATTTCTTTCTCTTCCGGGAACCCGGACCCCCTGGGTCCGTCGGCGCGCCGAGAAGTTTTTTTCCGTCCAGATAATTCGGCTCCCACGTGTCTTGCGTTGGAGTCGCCCGGCTGATCCAGAGGTCACCCCTGCCTGGGGTCACTGCTTGCGTGCAGCCGATAAAAAGGTCGAGGTCATGGAGGAGTACCTGCACGGCCGGTGGCTGGCCCTGGACCTGCCGGAGGACGCCGTCCCCGAGGGCTGCGCCGTGGCGTCGCGGCGCGTGGCGCTCATGGCGCAGGGCTTCGAGCTCGCTGCGGTGACCGCCCTCAAGGCCCCGCCCCTCGCCACCGCCGCCGCCGCCGCCGCCGCTGCGTCGTCGTCGTCGTCGTCGTCGCCGTCGTCGTCGTTGTTGCCATCATCGTGGCGACGTCGTCGTTGCCGTCGTTGTCGTGTCGTCGTCGTCGTTGTTGTCGTCGTCGTTGCGGCTTCACTTTGTTGCCGTCGTCGTTGCGTCTTGTCGTCTGGTTTGCGGGTCGAAACTCGGGCCTCTTGCGGCCGTGCGGGATCATCCAGGCACCCACAGAATGCTCTCAGCGAGAGCTGATGGAAACCACCTCGGGCCTCGACAACGTCCAACATTTTCGAAAAACATCGAAAACTGGACGCCGCCGCCGCCGCGGCCGCCGCCGCCGCCGCCGCCGCCGCCACCGCCACCGCCGCCGCCGCCGCCGTCGTCGTCGTCGTCATCGTCGTCGTCGTTTTCTTCGTCGTCGTCGCCGTCGTCGCCGTCCCCTGAGATCCGACGTGAAGAACAAGAACAACATCGCGGGTAATCACGACCATATCCCTAGACCCACCCTATCGGCGACATTCGTCGAGCTTGGTCGATCTGTGAGGGTCCCAGCGCCCGAAACGGGGTGCACGCGCCCGGCGTATAGAAACTGCAACGCCTGGATCTCAGGGCCGTCGTCGCGTCGCCTTCGTCGGCGTCGTCGCTGCGCTGTCGTCGTCGTTGCGTCGTCGTCGCCGCCGCCGCCGTGCCCGCCCAGCGTGCGTGGATCGCGGCTTTCGGGCCATAGCTCCGCTCTTTGGCGCCGGCTGGGGACGGCCCGGGCCCCCCCTGGAACGTTCTCGGCGAGGCGCAGCTGCTGGGACGCGCCCCGAGGCTGCTGAGGCCCGACGAAAGCGCCCGGAAGCTTTGAGCCTCTCAGATACCCAGACCGCTACTCCCCAGGCGTCACCCATGGTGCGTTCTGACCAGGTTTTCGAGGCGAATCCAGCCGTGTCGACGAGGGACGGGTTGCGGTGCCGGTACACTGGGGGCGTTCGCGAAGGAATGTGCCTGGGTGGGTCCAGACACCCTGGAGGATTCCTTGATCTGAAGGCGGCGGCGATACCCATGGCCACACGATTGGATTTTCACTGGCTTCCAGACCCTGGATTCCTAATCCAATGGTTCCTTCTCGAATGCCCTAATCGTATCCTTTCCTCCGCTGAGTCGTTGTCGTCGCCGTCGCCGTCGCCGTCGTCGTCATTTTCGTCGCCGTCCTCGTCCTCGTCCTCATCCTCGTGGTCGACGTCCTCTTGGTCGCCGTCGCCGTCGCCGTCGCCGTTGTCGCCGTCCTCGTCGTCGCCGTCGTCGCCGTCCTCGTCCTCGTCCTCGGCCTCGTCCTCGCCTTCGTCGTCTTCGTCGTCGTCGCCGTCGCCGTCGCCGTCGCCGTCGCCGTCGCCGTCGTCGAAGGCCCTGCCCGCCGTCGACCGCGACCTGCTCGCAGCCGAGCTGGCACGCACGGGGCTGCAGGAGCAGTTCGCCAGCGGCCCGCCCGCCGTCTGCGCGCGCCCCTTGGGGCCGGCGCTGCTGGTGTACTACGCGCCCGCGCTGGTGCAGAAGGCGGGCCCCAGGAAAGCGAAGACGACGACGTCGGCGTCGACGATGACGACGTCGACGACGACGACGTCGACGATGACGACGAAGGCGACGACGACAACGTCGTCGACGACGACGAAAACCGAGACGACGACGACGACGTCGACGACGACGACGAAGACCGAGACGTCGTCGTCGACGACGAAGACTGAGGCGACGATGACGACGATGATGACGACGACGAGACCGACGACGACAATGTCGACGACGACGACGAAGACCGAGACGACGACGAAGACGACGACGAAGACCAGGACGACGACGACGTCGACGACGACGTCGACCGAAACGTCGTCGCCGATGACGACGACGACCGCGAAGACCGAGACGACGACGAAGACCGAGGCGTCATCGCCTACGACGACGAAGATCGAGACGACGACGACGATGACCGAGACGTTAACGTCGACGACGACGACGAAGACCGAGACGACGACGATGACGACGACGGCGACGGCGACGACGAAGGCGACGACGACGATGAAAACAGAGACGAAGACGACGACGTCGCCGACGACGACGACAACAGCCAAGACGTTGTCGTCGACGACGACGAAGGCGAAGACGACGACGACGATGACGACGAAGGCGACGACGACGATGACGACGAAGGCGACGACGACAACGTCGTCGACGACGACGAGGACCGAGACGACGACGATGACGACGACGACGTCGTGGACGACGACGACGACGACGACGACGACGACGACGACGACGACGACGACGACGACGACGGCGGCGGCGGCGGCGGCGGCGGCGGCGACGACGACGGGTTGGGCGGGACATGAAAGCGGGCGGGTCGGCACGGGCCTTCGCGGCGGGCGGGCGTTGTACGAACTGCCCCGCGGGAGGTGCAGATTGCGGGCCCCGCGGGCGCCAGCCGCACCCTCGGGGTGGCGACAGAAGTCGCGACGACAGGGTTTTGTTGCTGCTGGGCGCCGGGGCCGTCAGTCGGCGGCGAGCGACGGGGGGAAGTTTCAGGTTCGAGGTTCAAGGTTTTCGGACGTTGTCGTCGGTTCTCGGCGGTTTGTCCAGCCTCGGGATGCTCGCCAGCAGCTGCGCCCCGCCGAGGGCGTTCCCGGGGTGCCCGGATCCTCCCGAACGGCCGCCGGAGACTCGAGTTATGACCGCAAAACCAAGCTCGGCGGCGCGCCCGCGGGAGGGGAAGTGAGAAGGAGAAGGTCTTTTCAGAAGGCGGCGGGGTTTCTCATAAGCCCTCGCGCCTTCTGGCAAGTTCTGTGCGTCTTCGGGGAAGGCTCAGGAAGCTTCTCGGCAGGCCGGGGAACTTCCGAGCCTTCTGAGAAGGCCCGCCCCCTCTCGCTTCCCTCCTTTGCTTGCCGCCGAATCAAGACTTGTTCCGGATGAGAGATTGGTCCCAGGGGGTCGAGACCTCGGGGGGGCCGCGATGTAAACAAACATGGCGTCGGGTGTCTTAGTCCCCCCCCTCCTCCTCCTCCTTCTCCTCCTCCTCCTCCTTCTTATCCTCCTGCCCCTCCTCCTCCTCCTCCTCCTCCTCCTCCTCTGGTGGGCGGGGTGAGCCTTTCAGCGCGGGGGGTGATTCATTTGGGTCGCCCCACTCCTTTAAGTGTGCGTTTGTGTCCAGGGCGACGTTTCCTTGCAGAGTCCGATCCTCCTCCTCCTCCTCCTCCTCATCATCATCATCATCCTCCTTCACCTCCTCCTCGGTCGGTCGGTCGGTCGTGCGGCCAGAGAGTCGAAGCTGAAATGGAGAGAAGAGTGCGAGAAGACAGCTGGGTGAAGAACAAAGCAGAGGCAGCAGCAGGCCCGAGAGTGGAACAAGCTGAAGCCGCGCCAAGGGCGCAGCACCACAGGTGCGGGAGTGCCTGAGGTTACCACCTTAAAAGCGGGTGTACCTCCGCCTCCTCCTCTTCTTTCTCCTCCTCTTACTTTTTGACGTTCGACCAACTAGAGGCGGCAGCCTGGAGCGTGCGTGGCGCCAAAAAAGACCGACTTAACGCTGCAGTGCAAGCAATGGCCGCGGACGGGTGCAGAAAAAATATGGCGACGAGGCGGGCGAAGAAGAGTAGCCCTTAAACGCGAGATTAACCCAGTCCGCGGCACGATGAGGTGAGGAGACCAGTACAACAGACCTTGAATCACGATGCAAGAACTAATGAGGGAGACTAGCTACAGCTGCAGGTAGTCTAGCAGGGGAGTCCCGCCACCTCTCGCGAGCTGGAGGGATCAAGTATCACCCTTCATGCAGGGGAAAGGCATGCATAGCTAGCAGGCGGCACGTGAGAGATAAAAAGTGATGGGATATAAGCGCGTGAGGCTGGCACTTGTTAGGCTGGCTGGAATAATTACAAAAAAACACCTCCCCGTCCCATCCTCATGACAATCCCCCCTTCCCCAGCAATCGGATCCCCACGGCAGGGTCATGTTAATACAAGAGGCAGCGGCTGCAATCTAGAAAGAGGGTGAGAGAGAGTAGTGGCCTTAATTGTTGATGGCCCATGCTGTAGGTGCGTGTATTGGTAGCGTTGAGGACTGCTAAAGAGGCTGGTTCAAGCGAGATGTGTGGCCTAGACGGTAAACTTGCTGAATCAGATGCTGATGCGCAGATGATACAGAACGAGCAGACACTTTCGGAGGAGGACGAGGAGGAGGAGGAGGAGGAGGAGGAGGAGGAGGAGGAAGAGTAGCAGGAGGAGGAGGAGGACCGAGGGGGAGGGAGAGGGAGGAGAGGAGGAGGAGGAGGAGGAGGAGGAGGAGGAGGAGGAGGAGGAGGAGGAGAAGGAAGAAGATGATGATGAGGAGGAGGAGGATCAAGGAGGAGGATCGAGGATCGAGGAGGAGGAGGAGGAGGAGGAGAAGGCGGAGGAGGAGGAGGAGGAGGAGGAGGAGGAGAAGATGGAGGCCCTCCCTGATCGACGAACGGGCTCAGCCCTGGCACCCTCCCCGAACGAGGCGGGGGCGGCCGAGGCGGGCGGCGCGCTCCTGGTGCTCGCCGCGGTGTGCCGCGCGGCGCGGGAGCTGTTCCCGCTGGAGGCGGGCGCCCACGCGGTGAGGACCGGCTGGCTCGGGCGAAGAAGTCGACGACGACGACGACGACGACGACGACGACGACGACGACGACGACGACGACGACGACGACGACGACGACGACGGCGGCGGCGGCGGCGCCGGCGCCGGCGGCGGCGACTTCGACGACGACTTCGACGACGACGGCGGCGGCGGCGACGACGACGACGACGACCAGCTGGCTCGGACGAAGAAGGCCACGTGCGGCGGAGGGAGAAAAAGGCTTGGAGTTCGGAGGAGGAGCAGGCACAGGCGGACCGAGGCGTGAGCTCGAGGACGGTTCGGGGGGGGGCCCCACTCCGAGTTACTCAGGGCCGGTTTGCTGCACGGCTGGGGGGCAACGCGTTAGGGGGGGCCAGCTCAGGGTGAGCTCGAGGCGTGAGCTCGAGGTCGGTTCGGGGGGACAACGCGTCAGGGGGGGGCCAGCTCAGGGCGGGAAGCGTGGCGGCCCCAAAGCCCCTCGGGAGGGCCTTCCGGGGATCCGCTGCTCATCGCGGGTCGTTCTCTCCTCGGTCCGCCAGTGCCCCGGGGCATGCCCCTGGGACCAGGTCTGCATCCCGAGTCGTGTTTGACGGTCCCGAGGCCCGTGGGGGGCCCCTGGAGGCCAGAAGCGGCCAGGAACCTCAGGACCTCTCAGGACCCGTTTCCTTCAGGAGCCATTTGCTACACGGCTGAGGGGCAACGCGTTAGGGGGGGGGGGCCAGCTCAGGGGGGGAGGCGTCGACCTGGAATCGGCGGCACATCGCCGGTAGGATTGGCGACGCGCACCCGATGAGCGCATCCGCACGGTCCTGGGCGGGGTGGGCCATCAGGCCCCAATCGGCGATGAGTGGGCGACCGGGGGCGAACGCATCCCTACTCCGAGTTTCTTAATAGGCGTCGGGGGGGGGGCGTCACCCCCGCCGACAGCCCCGCATCGACCCCCGTGGCGGGCAGCCACCGCGCGCCGAAGGCGCTCCGACCCCCGTCGCGGCGCGACGACGAGGCGAGGTTGACCCCCGTCGGGGGCGTACCCCCCCCACGCTCATGAAGAAGCCCAGAGTAATGTTCATCGTGTTTATGGGATGTTCTTGTGCATCCTTGGGAAGGTACCCCTGGATGTTCTGTGCGTGTTGGCCAGCGGAGGGTCTCGGGTTCTTGAGGGATGTTCTTCTAGATCCTTAGGTCGGGTATATCCAGGACCCCAGGTAAGGGGACCCGGTTAGTAGTAGGGCCCTGGAGCCCCTAATTTTGCCAGAATCGCTAAACCAGGCCTGCCGTAGCTGATGTTTTTTCGGGTGACGGCAGTTCCGGTTAGTGGAACGGCGGCAGCACTGGCTGGCGCGCCTGTGCTTGGCCACCCCGCGTTCCCCGTGAAGCCGCGCACCAAAGGTCACTCTTACCCAGGGTCACTCTTACGTGCAGCCGAACAGGGGTCAACGCAAACGGGGGTCAGCCGGGACGCTGGATCTTGCAGGATCCCGTTGGCACGTTTACGCGCTACCGCTCGGACACTGAAACTTGGAAGATCCGAAACCTATATTGAATTCGGGGGGAGGGGCGAGTTCAAACCATATGTTATGCGTGAGTGCCCCTTAATTGTTTCTGACACCTGTGTGTCGAGGGAAGAAAACTCAGGGGAGGAAACGACGCCAATAGTGTTGCTCTTCCTGGGTGGTTCAGCGCTGCTTTCGGACCCCGGGACAATCACAGATCGATGCGGCCCGCAAATGCAGCATAAAGATGGGGTTCCGGTCGTGATTTTTCGCGATGTCGCGTTTTTCCCGCAACGTCGGGCTTCAGGTGATGAAGTTTCCGATGCCGCTGCTCGTCCTGGAGAGCCCTCGGCGCCACGGCTGGACTTTCTTCGAAAGTCCAGCCAGGACGCACCCCAGGAGAGGTCCGGGGAGAAGCGGTATCGGTATCTTTGGGTCTCCTTGTTTTGAGCTGCCGTTGTCTCGACCCGCCCGGCTCCGACAGACGGCTCTGAGTCGACTAGACGTAAGAGTGACCTCTCGCCGGAGTGACCCTTGGTGCGGGCCCAATGGGGTCCCCCGATCGCCGAACTCGAGGCGGCAGTGGCGTCTTGCGCGCTTGTACTTGGCTACCCCGCGGCCCCCAAAAGCCGCGCACCAAAGGTCACTCTTACCCAGGGTCACTCTTGCATGTAGCCGACTGAGGTTCTTCAGTGTTCTCTGACACTTTCGTCGGTTCCTGAGGGGCGATCTTCCCTGCCTCGGGACACGTTCCGGCAGCTGCTCCTCGCCGATGGCGTTCCGGGGCCGCCCGGATCGTCCCGAACGGTAGCCGGAGGCCCGAGTCATGACTTAAGTCTGGCACGTCACTTCCCTCTACAGGAGGAATATTCAAAAATAGTTGAAAATAGTCTGGGGACGATTTTTTACTGTTCTCGAATTTGTTTTTACTTTTTTGAATTTTCGCCCAAAATCCGCCTGTAGGAGGACACCCCCGACCTAAGTCATGACCCGAGAACCACCAGGCCCTGTCAACTGCAGCAGCCAGGCAGACGTGTCGTTTGGGCGAGCGTCTGCATGCGCCGAGGGAAGCGGCACAAGGGCCCCAGGCATCCGACGCCTCGACAGACGTCAGGGCGGAAGTTTTTGTTCTGTCGATTCTGGGATCTGTGGGCCTTCGATTGTCGGGGAAACGTGAGACTCGAGTAAGCCAGAACTCGGGTTTGCCGACTTTTTTGACGAGCGCGTCCTGGACTTTGACGGTCCCGTTTTCGTGGGATGCCTGCAGCGGGAGCCCGCGTCAAATTTCAGATTGGGTCTCGTCATTTTTATGATGGCCCCCGTCAGAACAACCCGAGTCCCCCGTACCCGAGTCTTACGTCTCCCCAAGATTGGTCCTGGGACCGCCAAAAAATCGCTCAGGACGAGCGCCGGCCCTTGAAGAAGCATCACCTCCGCGACTCATGCCTGAGCCCAGTTGACCCCCCCCGCCGTCCCCGGCCCGATCTGTTTCCTTCCTTCCCTGCGGGATCCTGCATCGCGGCGACCCGTTGAGCCTGGGATTCCTGGCGGCGCACGGATTCCTGTCCTTCTGCCGCGCGCAGGGCCTGCGCTTGCGCTGGAGGGCGGGGTGGTGGACCCCCCGCGTGCGAGAACCCCCGCGGGTGAGAGTTCGTTCCTCTTTCGAAGTTTGAGACGGGGGTTACCCCTCGCCAGTTCATCGGGTTCATCGGCGCGCCCCGAAGTTCTTCCCGGATGGGCCCCCATGGGTCCTACGTTGGAGTCACCCGGCTGATGAGCAAGCGTTGGGACTCCTATGGGCCCCGATATGAAAACAACAGGACATCGGATGTACGGGACCAAGATGTCGCTAGGCTCTTGTCGGCGCCGAGCTTGGTCGCGGTCAACGCCAGCCGACGCCGACTCGCGGGAATGATCGACGGATCAGCGATGGCCAAGACGGACAATGTCCCCCCCCCGCGCCTTTTCCTAGAACGCTACAGCTCCGCTGCCTGAGCTTGCCACGACGTTGGCCCAGCGTCAAAAAAGGAGGAGGAGGAGGAGGAGGGGAGGAGGAGGAGGAGGAGGAGGAGGAGGTCCGTAGCCGTTTTGGCTCAAGTTGAAACCCTCGCCCTCGGGGCTTCAGCTTGTTCGCAGCCGAGGGGGCTGGACCAAGCATCTCTGGGCACAGGGCCCACGATTTTCTTTTCCCTGGACCATCACGGGTCCCCAGTTGTGCGCACCGATTTCAGAAGGCAGGCCTCGATGCCCGCGACCGTTCCAGATGATCGGAATGTGCGTTCTAACATTGGTGAAACTGCAAGTGTATCTGATCTGGTGGATTTGCGTCAGCATGTGGACACTACTAAGGCAGAGGTGTTAGCAACTATTGCTAGTATTCAAGGCTCCCTCACATCTCTATCTGACCAGTTCGCCAAGGGATGGACCTCTGTGGAGGAGAAGCTCGAGCACAAAATCGACGGCCTCTCTGAGAAGGAGGCCGTGCAGGAGGCTAGGATCGACCACCTCGAAGGCTAGACCAAGCAGCTGCATGCTCTGTTGGGGAATATCAAACGTGAGAAGCCGATTCTTCCTGTGGCTGCTAGCAATTTCGATCGCGACATCGACGAGACCATCCTCATTCTGCGCACCAAGCTGTCCAGCACCAGGGCCGCCATCAAAGCATCGATTGGCAACTGGACCAGATGCGCCCAACTCGATGAAGGAGACGTGGAATGGGAAGGTGATGAGACTTCAAACAGGCACGTCATGCGTATCAAGGGAGCGCGTCTTTATGCCGCTCGCAAAGTTCAACAAGCGGTCGGTGCTCTTCGCCTTCCAAACAACGGTTGGGAAATATTCAAAGTGGAGGCAACCTCTGGGGAATATCAAGAATTATGTATCTCGCCTGATAAGAATCAGGCCCAGATTAAACGTGACTTGGGGATCAAACGCATTCGGCGTGAGCTCGAGTTGCACTACCCGTCGCTCAATTTGTTCAGTGACAAAGCGAAAGGAGAAGTTTCTACGCAGTGGAAACCACTGGTCAGGATCGAACCACTCCCTGGTGACGCTCTCCCACGCTTCGAGTTTGCGATGGAGAATATGCGTGCCTTCGGGATCGACAAGGAAACCATCCTCTCTGGCGCCAGGGCGAACTACCGTCAGCAGTCCGACACGCAGTGGTTTGTTTAACGCCGTCTTTGGCAGATGGTCTTTGCCGAGTGGACTGCCAGCCAAATTGAGGCTTGTGACGTGGAATGCCATGGCGCTGTTTCATTACAAGTCTCACGAGCGCTCGGCCAAATTATCTCGTGTCCGTGCGTCGTGGCAGGCGGGGGGTATCATCGCCCTGCAGGAGACCCACGGCACCCTGCCAGAAGTGCGGGGCTTTCTCTACCACTCCTGCAACCACTTCTCTGATATCGTCTCTTTCTGTTCCTCTCGTCGCGCTGGTGGTTTGGTCGCGCTCATCCCCAACTTTAACAAGTATTCCTTCACCTCGTCTACCTCACGTCCTTCTATTACTCGTAATGTTATTGTCCCTG